TTTTCCTCTCTGGCTCATAAGTGTTCATAGACTATTATAAGATGTCCTGTTTGAGTTTTGGTTGCACTGTTGCAATGAGTATTGAAAATGTTTGCCTACATATTCTTTGACGTTTCCATCTGTTCCATCTCTCTTACTGAGAAATTAATGAACGTGATTGCTTTCATTTGTTTATATCATGTTAAACCTGGTGTTACTGAGTCAACAATGCTGGTAAAAAAACAGACTATGTGTCCTATAAAAAGATATTTATGAATGAAAACATAAAAATATAGGTTAACGTATGACTGGAGTGTTGCATCACAGAAATAAAATGTTGTTATTTCAGGTTTTATGAAGAAGGGGATAGATTCTTCAGATTATTTTGAAACGTCTTATTGTTATATAGATTAAAGAAAATAACAAAATAACAAAGCCTTTCTGGAGCCAGTTACAGTTTGTGACTGCAGAAAAAATCTCCTAGTGAATCAGTGCCACTTTTCATTAAATGGGATCAGGGTATTTATATATTGTTTCCGTGTGGAGTATATTTGTATATTTTCTCTTTATCTGTGCAATCTTCCTTGAACAGTCCAAAGACATGCACATAAACTGGAGAATCTATAAAGAATAGAAAGTGAAGATGTGTTTTCCACCTAACAAATGTTCCCACAGGTCAGTTTCCCTTCATGAACCCTAAACAGAAATGTTTTAGGTAATAGGTGTATTAATTTAATTTTAATCTTATTCAAAGACATCTTTTCATTTTCATACACTAAGTATAAGAAAAATACTTGAATCAGTGTGTTATGGGCTTAATTTAAAGCACATAACTATTTAAAAAGATTAAAAAAGGAGGTACGTGTTATAACTGTGTGAGCAGTGTTTATAAGGAGTAGTTTGGAGATGTCTGACAGAGCTGACAGTGATGTGCACTCCCAGGCTCACCAACCTTTATCTGAAATCTTCAGCGGATATTGATATTGACACTCAGGTCAGGTGATTAAATCACAATCGTGGGTCGCAATTTTTTTTTTTAACAGGTTTTCTGTATTCAAAGTCTCGGCTGTGAGTCGTGCAGGGAGACACTGAGAGACACAACACAGAGGATCTATGTTCCAATAAACACAAACCTCGGCAGGGGTCAGAGGTCAAAGGTTACGGGACTGAGGTGCAATGACCCCGGCACAGCAGGACATTCTCTCTATAGAAATGTAATTCTTTCTGCAGTGTGGCCCTTGTGCTACCGGCCCAGCCCCCCACGGTGTTGTCACCACATGAGGAGAGAAGTAAAAAGACGACTACAGAAAATGTTTTTCCTTCTCCAACAACAAAATGTAAACTGGAAGTCTGAGGGAAAGCTAAGATGGGATGAAGAATTTAGAAAAGACAAAACACGTGTCAGTAGTTATAAAGTCAACATATAAGGCTAATTAGTGACCCTAATTATATTAAAGACTTTCTTCTTATAGTCACACATAGAAAGATTAAGACTTAAGAGATCAATGTAATTCAAGACTTTGCTCTAGTTCTGATATTGATGATTATTAAATTGACATTTCTGTGCATTATTTGATGGACTTTAACACAGAAAATAATAAATAAATAAAGAGCTGAAAAAAAGAAGAAAATTTGACAAACATGACTCACTGTTTTAAATTTGTGAAATTATTTATGTGGCAACATTTCCCCCACATACACATCAGTTTCAACTGTGATAGTTTAACAGTCACCACAGACGGTTTCCAGTGCTTTTATTTACAGAAAAGTGGCTAGACTTCATGTTACTGTACACTTTGATATTTTCCCTTTTTATAAATACCCATAGGGTAATAGGTCCTCAGTAGCTTTGAGTGCATTATAAAACACACAACCCTAGGTTAATGCGTCTTTTACTAACCATACAAAACAGAGAACAAAGTACCAATTGTAACATAGAAAATAAAACATACGCCATGTTACAAAGTTACAGAAAATACATACTATATATATATATATATATTGTCACAGGAAAACAGCAAAAAAGATTGCGACAGAATACACTCGCACAGTTGTTGTCACAGCATTCAATCATTGAAAAAAACTATCCGAGATAAAGACACACTGATCAAGGTCTTTGAAGAGTTTATACGGCGTTGTACGTTTTGTCTTTGTGCCACTGTATTTACGGTGTCCCAAAAAAGAACGTTAAGGCAGTACAGTTCATCCACATCCTGCAGCAAACAAATCTGCCGCAGCGAGCCCAGTGACAAGATGCC